AAATGGGAAATTGCTGAGCTATTATCTGTGGTTTGTAACCTATCCTTTAAATCAGCTTCTGTACCTAATGACTGGAAGGTAGCCAACGTGACACCAATATTTAAAAAGGGCTCTAGAGGCGATCCTGGCAATTACAGACCGGTAAGTCTAACTTCATTACCGGGCAAATTATTCAAAACAATAGTAAAGAATAAAATTGTGAAGCATGTAGAAGAACATAATTTGTTGAACAAATGTCAACATGGTTTCTATAAAGGGAAATCCTGTTTTACTAATCTGTTAGAGTTCTTTGACGGGGTTAACAAACATGTGGACAAGGGGGATCCAGTAGATATAGTATACTTAGATTTTCAGAAAGCCTTTGACAAGGTCCCTCACCAAAGGCTCTTGTAAAACATGGGGGAATAGAGACGATGTAAGCCCTAAGTCAACAGCACACCACCCACCATTGCCAAGAGGGTAGGCTGTTGATCCTTTCTTCTGTGGGGCCTTTAAACCACATCTATTTGAATGGACTCTGCTAGCTTGTAAGAGAGTAAACACAACTGGTTATCTCATTGGAAGGCTGAATTGCTACCTTCCATAAGATGATACCAAACTGTTTAGGATAGTCAAGACAGAAGCAGACTGTGAGGGACTCCAAAAAGATCTCACCAAACTGAGTGATTGGGCAACAAAATGGCAAATGAAATTTAATGTGGATAAGTGTAAAGCCGTGGTCGCCAACCAGTAGATCGCGAACTACCGGTAGATGTTGAGGCTCTAAGAGTAGCTCTTGAGCCCTCTCTGAACTGCGCACATGCACAGTACATTTACATTAGATTTCCTCATTTGAGGAGCAGCTACTCACCGAGCAACAACACAGGTGAGTAGCTGCGAGGAATAGTGGGAGCTGGGAGGTCTGGAGAGCTGAAACACCCCAGACAAGCTGACTGTGGCTTTCAGCTGAAAGAGGCTGCCCCGCGCTCCAGCTGATTGGCGGCTTCTCCTCTGTGCCTGCCCACGTGGAGTTTGGTGCATCCTGGCTGAGTGCCATGGTCCGCTGGCCGGGCAGCCACTTCTCTTCCCTCCAGCCCGGCTGGCCTGCGCCCAGCCCAGTGAGGCTGTGTCTAGCTCCAGCTGTTATACCCCATGATACCCTTGCCTAGTATCCCAACACTGCCCAGCCTGGAGCCCCCTCCCCGAGCCAGTGTCCCCTTCTCCACCTCC